TGGAGGCAGGGCTTAAAAGCCTGAATTTTGCCTGAAACTCTCAGACTGAAGAAGTCTCTTGGAGGAGAGACGAAACGTTTCTTTAGAGAAGAACCTGTCCAGAGGACCTATACAATTTTTTTCTTTTTGATTAAGAAGGTCCTCTCTTTTTGGAAAATAAAAGTCTGATTTTACCTCATAAGGTCCTCGGCTGACAAACTCAGCCCTCACTGTGTCAGAATGGATGTCTGCAAGATTAGTAGTAGGAGTAGTTTATTTTTCCTGTAATACTTCATTATTGTTTTTTAAGATAAAGCTAATTGGAAGGGGCGCTGAGCAGAGTTACAACCAGGGATTACAAATAATAACTTCTTTCTTCTGCAGTTTGGCGCCCCCTCCAGCAGATGGCGCTCTAAGCAACTGCCTAGTTCGCCTATGCCAAGAGCCAGCTCTGCCTCAGATGATGTTGTGGATGACTTTCAGCTACCACACCAAGCCTGTAAAATAATTAGTCAAAACTGTTTTAATCTTCCCTAAAGTTAGCTGTGGTGGTCATCTTGTACTTGCTTTAAACATTAATCAGTTGTAGTTCACCCAATCATGGCAAATCTGTGGCGTAGGCAGTATAGGCAAATGCTTAGGGTGCCATCCAGCTGCAGGGTGCCACATGTGGTGGATGAAAAAAAAATAAATCTTTTTATCAGAGTTTAGTTTATTTAGTCAGTAAAATCGTTATGCAAGTTTATGAACTTGTGGGTTTTTCAACTGCTTTTTTACTACACGAGGTAACTGATATATTTATGAATATTTTATGATCAAAGATTCATATGATGCAGTCAAGACTAACTACTGGTGCTCAGTGTGTAAATATAAAACAAAATAAGGATAATGAAAGTAAGTCAGGTTTCAGTGTTCTACCATCATAAAATTCTGATTTTATGTTGTTTTATTAATTCCTGATTTTATGTTGTTTTATTAATTCCAATAATTTAGTAAAATGCTTTTCAAATGATTGTTAAATGCAGAGTTTTGAGTACATCTTTTACTAAATTTACAAGGGAGCACCTCTGCCCCCCCCCCCCCCCCAGAACTGCTTCACTCCACAGCTGTTCGTCAACATGAACAGGTGTTCCTCATGATGACGTTTGTATCTTGTGTATGGCACTCATACTGATCCACCAAAATCCAGATCAGAAGCTATAAAATTGACTGAGTTGTAGCCATTTTTGTATTTGCTAAATTTCTTTGGTTGTGGCAGCCATCTTGAATGAAGGTGACTTCCAACGATGTAAATGTATGTTTAAAGATTAAGTTCTGAGGGCCTCATTAAAATCTGTCCACTGGTTCAGAGCATATTTTGCTAACATTGCAGACAAAAAAAAACAGACACAGGACAAAAACATTATCTCCTGTTGCCTTTGGTGGCAAGTAATAAGAAAATTAGGCTAATATAAACAGTAATTAGTATAAATACATCAAACATTCATCAATAAAAAAATTTGTTCACTAGCTGTGTTTCCATTGACCATGAAAATGCGCAAATTAGAATTTCGAAAATAAATTTGCTCAATGGAAAAACGTCAGTTTTGAAAAAAAAAAGTGTTTTTCGATAAAATGTTTTTGCGTTAGGATGAGGTGGTTTTTCGGCTGTATCGAAATTGGTGTTTTTTACAAAACTGCAATGGAAACACTTTTTTCGCATCACGGGAGACACGTGATCAACAACCATCTGTTTCTACTGGCGAAAAAGACGATGACGAAGAAGATAACAGGAAGTAGAAGTTGTAGTAATATCACAGAAGTATAAAGTAGTAAACTCACCGACTACAATTTCCCAAAAACACAACATACGTAGCCGCTCCCAAGTAGGGACTTGTCTCTGGAAAGCCTCGATAAAAGACGCCGACGTCTCCTCTGATGATGAGCGCTAGTGTCGTGGTAGCAACATGCTATGTGTTTACATCCATCGCCACCATGTTTTTAATGACTTATCGCGAGAACAAAAGTATTCACGTGACTTTAATAGCATTTCTTACTTAATGGAAACACCGCAGGTGCGAAACTGTGTTTTTTCGACATTAACAGAATATCAACAAAGTTTTGCACACATTTGCAATGGAAACACATCTACTAAGATGATGCATTTAATTAATGTAATATGTTAGAACATATTACTTAAAAATAATATTATGGGTGTTGGGCCCCCCCAAAAGCTCTGGCACAAGAATATTTTTAATCCCAAACACAATACATGGTCTCTGTGCAGCCCCCTAAATCATTCAGCCATGCTACAGCAAAGGGACCCCTGCTAATGCAGCAGGATGAATGGAATACAGCAGAGAACAGAAAAGAAGGTGAAAGAACAAAATTGAATTATATTGAAGTCAGCTATTCTGAATACCAAACGGGTGAAGAAAGAAAGAAAAAAGCATTTCAAGTTGCTTACACCGGGTCATGTGACAGGCTAGTGTTAAATTGAAGTCATTGAAAGAACTGAAAGATTAAGCAAAAACTAATTCTGCAGGACAAAAATCATAAAGACAGAAACCAGAGCAGTGCTGGATCTGCAAAGTCATCAGGATGTACAGCCAGGAGCTGCTCCCACTTGATTTAAAAGAAACCTTAGTGGACTGTGACCACTGCTGAACAGTTTCTCTTTTTTCCTGGTGCTAAGAATCTTCCTCTCAAAGAGTGATTTAAAAGCCTGCAGCATCCGTGATGACCTCTCCATCCCCTATTTCACCAAAAAAGAAAAAAAAAAGCGCTGTAGCAGTTTTTGTCAAGCTTTAAAAAGATCGTTCAGTGATTGTGCAATTAAAGCTAACTGTTAGCATCCGTTTCCTTTGGTTTAACTAAAAAAAACATCATTTCTCCACATTTCAGCTGCCATGAGGGTGACAGCATGTCAGAGAGGGACTGGATCACATCATGACAGGCCTGCCAAAACCACAAAATACATGTTTGGATTTTGTACACAGCTGAGCCAAAAGTACGTGTTGTGGATGAAAATGTGTGATCAGGGAACAGGCGCCTGTGCTCTCGGAGAGTTTTGTTACTGTTAGTGCCACCTCTGCCACATCAGGGGTGTGAAGAAGGGTTTCCTCCAGGCTTCAGCTCATGGGCGTCTCCAGCTTTTTCCTCATAGTTTGCTTCCTGCAGGATGAAGACATTAACCGTGTTTCCATCAAGGCTTTTTGATGCACATTTAGAACTGTCGCATTAAAAATGCGGAAAAAAAGTCAGATGGAAACAGCAAAATTAAAAAAAAAAATCCTCAATTCGCTAAAAAGTTTTTACATTCGCTTGAGATGGTTTTTGGATGATTCGCAAAGTAGTTAATGAGCAAAACGGGAGATGGAAACACGTTTGCCAAATAAATTCTGACGTAGCGCATATTTACCTCACGTGACGTTCAGCTGTTTCTGCTTTCCTGCCTCGTCTCGGATGTTATAAATGCATGAAAACATGGCTAGTTTAAACTATATTTAGTATAGTTTAACACTGCATTTATTTCCCTACGTCTCCTGGCAGCGTTAAACATAGCCTGTACTCGCTGAATAGATAGAATAATTACAACTTACCCAATAGCAAGGCATTCACGAAAAAAATCACGCGTTGCGTAGCCTCGTCTGATGTAATCACGCGTTGCGTAGCCTCGTCTGACGTAATCACGCGTTGCGTAGCCTCATCTGACGTAATCACGCGTTGCGTAGCCTCATCTGACGTAATCACGCGTTGCGTAGCCTCGTTTATTCGCATCAAACAGTCGAGAGGGAAACAAGATGGAAACAATCTAGATTTGAATTTATATTTATTTAATTTTTTGCGCATTTTGAAAAGTTCGATAAAAATTCACTCTACAACTGGATGGAAACAGGATTATTTACTGCTGACTAATGAAAGGTTCAACAAAGATTGCTCAGCATCCCTTTGAGACATCATGAAAAGTCTGGCTTCTTGAAAACGGAATTTAAGGAGACGAGGAAAGAACGAGGACTTGAGCATTTGAACAGTTAAGCCACTGCATCACCATTAATAGTGACAAAGACAGAGACTGGGTCCAAATTCAGGCTGTGTCCTTGAAAGAACTCGGCCCTCCCAATCTACATCGACCGTATCCTTTATCGAACACAAAAAATGGGAAAAAAAATGGCTGTCAACTTGGACAGTAGCCTTCAGCTTTATTCTCGACCTTACCCCAGCGTATGTCCTGTTAGC